GAGAGAGAGAGAGAGAGAGAGAGAGAGAGAGAACAATAATAACAACGATGACGACAACAACATCAGGAGCAAGAGCAGCAGCAACAGCAACATCATTGATATTGAGAAAGGGGAAGGGGGAGGGGGGACAACAACAATAACGATTATGAGCAGCAATAACAACGTTAAAATTCTAGACAATTTTGACATATCAAATACAAGAAGCTTCATAAATCATCTAACAACAACAATGAAGAAGACGAGGAAAGGAGAACAAGAGAGAGAAAAATGGAGAGAAATAAAGAGCAAGAGAGATTTATACTACACAACTGATCACCATATCTATTTCCTGATGCAAGTGTACTGCTAAATCCAATTTGTTTTGTTTTAATGTTGAAATATTCCTGCCTTCCTCTGCTTGTTTTGGTGAATTTGTGCAAAGCGCTTCACTTTGTAATGAAGTCTGACATTTGTATACACGAAAAAGTGCCAAAGAATCTAGATCTAGATCTTGACTGGGAAATGAGCACTGAATTAGATCTGGATCTAGATAATCTAAACAAAAGAAACTATCTCCAAATGCAAGGAAGCCTAGATCTAAAACATAGATTTACAATAGATCTATCTATATCTAGAATCTCGATCTAGAACAGATATAGATATAGATGTAGATCTACTTAGAACACAAGATACAACACATGCTTTCATTCATGGTGAATACAAAGGTGTGTGTTTTGAAATTTTCTCTGAATAATACGCTATTTAAGCTTCATCTACTTATCCACCAATTGACTTACTTTTAAGGGTCTTTAGGAAAACGCTTAAAAGAAAATTCAGATCGTCTGGTTTTTAATTAGTCCAGTTTATTACACACCGCTTACAGTGTCTGTTCTTAGAATCAGCTATATTTGTTTGAGTTTACCACCGCAGTTCCTGTTGTCACGGGATTGGTCAGATTCGCGGTCTGGCCAAGCTGTACTGCCTGTTTATATTGCTAGGTCTCTAATAATATTATGTTGAAATTGAACTGGCACATGACGTCACAATTAATTTTCCTTGTTGAATTTGAACTTTCTATAGTTAAATGTCATACTTTATTTTTATGTTTGAGTTTCCCAGAGTTATATTTTCTTTTTCTGTGTTGATATTGATTTGACTATGTTGAGAAAATTCTGTTATACATGTAATTCATTTGAATTGTCCAAATTGATGTTTGATCTGGAAAAGGTGTACATTATAAGTGGCATCGTCGATGATGGTATTAAGTAAGTTCAAAGCCAGTGATGTCATGTAACACGTTACGTTCTGTGCACATGAGAGAGAGGGGGGGGGGGGCACATACACACAAAAAGACATACAAACAATATCAAATAAGTAAAATTGTGATGAAACATGTGATATTGGATAAAACGCTATTTGCATGATAATAGATTCGCTGTGTGTCTGTTCGGTGTCTCCTCTGTAGTAATGGAAATTGCCATAAAAGGCCAATGTTATCGGTGCATTACTTCTCTCAACTGCTGTAGGAGGTTGAACTTGCTTTCGTTAATCCCTTAGTACAATTTGGTGGGTTCTCCAGTGATCGTTGCAACGTAGCGTTTTGGGATTTTAGCTTATCCCATGAGCCAGCGTATTCAATTTTGTACTCATCTTCCCATCTGAAGAATACTGGAGACAACGGATGTCTATCGGATTTTGGACATCCCAGGTCTGACTGACTGCCAACGGGCAAACTAAGTGAAATCCCAGAAGAATTCGTGATTCACATGAACGACCTCGTCCTTGTAAAAATGTTAACAAAATCCATTGGAACAGAAATCATTGAGTTATTCAAGGGTTTTTTTTTCGATAGTGGTATAAACAGAATAAATCTCAATGTACGTCTGCCATGTTGTGAGATACGTCTGCTATTATTGTTATTCTGTAATTTGAGCAGAAGATGATGAGGGCATTCGAAAATCAGCATTTTTATTTCGGTAACAGCCCCGTCTAAAAGATAATCAGTTTAAGCCTAGATTATACTACATGTATTATCGATTTTAGACCACAAAGGGAACTTTAACGTGCGCAGCTTGCACACGGGCCCTCCGAGATTTTTTCGTCCTTGTCCGAGAAAGCTAGGTGTAGATCTTTCCTGCCAGAAGATCGGGAGTGTGGCTGAAAGAAAGCAGTAAGAAGGAGCCAAGGAGAAGCAGTAGAAAGGCTGCAGAAAGAGTCTGGAGCCCAGAGGAGGGGGCAAAGGAGTTCAGTTGAGGGAGTGGGGGGCAGAAAGTGTAAACGAAAGCGGACGACAGAACATTGCAAGAAAGCAGGAAAGAGGTGAAAGGAGACAATTTTATAGCAGAAACTTTTTCGGTCGCTACCCGAATTCAAACCCGGGATCTTTGAATGAGAGGAGAACACTTTAACCTCTAGGCCACGGAGTCCCCGTATATATATATATA